TTCTGAAGAAGGGTCTAGGCCCGAAACGTCAGCCTTCCTGCTCCTCTGATGCTGCTTGGCCTACTGTGTTCATCCAGCTCTACACCTTGTTATCTCTGAATAAGTCAAGCAGTTGTGTTTAATTTTCAAAGCTCTGGTTGGGCCACAATTACAACATTGCATGCATTCCTGATCACCATACTTCAAGTAGTATATGAAGCTCTTTGGGAGGGCGCAGAGATGATTTGCCAGAATGGTTTCAGGGATGAGGCAATTTAGTTACAAGACGAGGTTGGAGCCGCTGAGGTTGGCCTACTAATAACAAAAGAGATTAAGGTGAGATTCGAAAGACAAGCACAAGCTTAAGGCGGGTTTAAGAAAAGGAAGACAGAGCACAACAGTTCCCATAAGCTTATGGGATACAGATACAGGCTTAACATTTTCAGTAAAAAAAAATACAAGAGGTGGAAAGAAAACTTTAATATATATTGAATGATCTGGGAAGTGGAAGTAGAGACAGTTGATGATTTCAACATGAAATTGGAATGGATATTTGGGGAAAATAAATTTTCAGGGCCAAGGGGAAGAAGCAGGTGAATGGGACGGATTGGATTCTTCTGTACGGAATTGAATTGGATTCAGTTTTTATCTTATTTATTCATGGGATGTAGGCATTGTTGGCTGGCTCAGTATTTATTACCCATCCCTGTTAGCTGTTGAGGTGGTGGTGAGCTGCCTTCTTAAACAGCTGCAGTCCACATGCTGTAGGTAGACCTACATTTCCATTAGGGACAGAACTCCAAGATTATCACTCAACAGTACTGAAACTACAATGATATATTTTCAGTCAGGATGACGTGGGGCTTGAAGGGGAACTTGGAGGTGGTGACTTTCCCACACATCAGCTGCCCTCGTGTTTCCAGAGGAAAGTGGCTGTGAGTTGGAAGGCGATGCTTAAGGGGCTTTAGTGAATTTCTGCAGGGCATCTTGGATCTGGTACACACTGCTGCTACTGAGTGTCAGTGGTGGAGGGATTGGATGTTTGTGGATGTGGTGTCAATCAAACAGTCCACTTTGTCCGGGACGGTGTCAAGCTTCTTAGGTGTTGGTGGAGCTGCACTCATCTAAACAAATGGGGAGTTTTCTATCACACTCCTGACTTGTGCCTCATAGATGATGGACAGGGTGAGGGGTCAGGTGGTGATTCACTTGGAGTATTCCTAGCCTCTAACCTGCTCTTATAGCCGCTGTATTTATATAGTTAGTCTAGTTCAGTTTTTGGGTAATGGTATCCCCCACGATGTCGATAGCAAGGGAGTCAGCAATAGTAATACCACTGAATATCAAGGGGTGATTGTCTTATTGGAGATGGTCATTGTCTGGCATTTGTATGACGACTTATTGGCTACTTTTCAGCTCTAGCCTGGATATTATTCAGGTCTTACTGTATTATGATGTGGACCTGCTTCAGTACGTGAGGATTTACAAATGGTTTGGAACATTGCTCGCTGCTGATTACATATCCCCACTTCTGACCTTATGATGGAGGGAAGATCATTGATGAAGCAGCTGAAGATGGTTGAGCCTAGGATACTACTGAGGAACACCTACAGAGATATCCTAGAGCTGAGATGATTGACCTCCAACAACAAGCACTGGAGTCATATCTACTAGAAAGGACAATCAGGAGGAGAGCTTTCCGTCAACTCCTGGTTGCTGTAATGAAGTCAGGAGTTCAGTGGACCTAACAGAACCAAAACTACGTGTCAGTTAGGAGGGTGTTACTGAGCAGTCTCTGCCTGATAGCAGCGATGTCCTTTGGGACTTGATCAATAGTTCTCCCACTTAGCCACACATTGGTGGGCTTGGAAATTCCCCCAAAGTACACTCTGCAATTTTACCACCTCAGTGCTTCCTCCAATAGTTGGAGAAGGTGGTACATGGTAATCAGAAGATTTCCTTGCCCATATTTGATCTGATGCCAAGAGACTTCATGGTGTTCAAAGTTAACATTGAGGACTCTCAGAGCAACGCAACACCTTCTGAGGAAGGGTCACTGGACCCGAAACGTTAACTCTGTTTTCTCCTCCACAGATGCTGCCAGACCCGCTGAACTTTTCCAGCAACTTTGTTTTTGTACCTTCCTTACACTATGTACCACTGTGATGCTACCTCTGCTGGGCCTGTCCTGTTGATGTGACAGGACATACCCAGAGATTGCCGTGTGTCGTCTAGCACATTGTGTTAGATATGATTCTGAGAGTATGACCGTATCATGCTGTTGCTTGACTAGTCTGCGAGACAGCACTCCCAATTTTGGCACTAGCCCTCAGATGTTAGTAAGGCCAACTTTGCAGGGTCATCAGTGCTATTTCTGCTGTAGTTGCCTGGTTTCATTTCTTGCCTGATACTTTGTGATTATTACAACTCAATGGCTTGCTAGGCCTTTTCAAAAGGGCTGTTAAGTCAACCACATTGCTATGGGTCTGGAGTGACATGTAGGCCAGACTGGTAAGGATGGTAGTTTTCTTCCCCACAGGACGTGCTTGAACCATTATTGACCTCTTTCTAAGCTATAATCCCTCTAGGATCCTTACACATGCTGCAATGCACTGAAACTGCTGTTATTTTTACACTTTAAAAATTGTAACTACAAAGGGAAGCTTAAACAAAGTAAGCTAATCGACTTAAAGTAATGGCTTTGGAGCTTAAATGCAACTAACAGCAAAACTTTATTGAAAAAAATCTTGACAAATGTTGCTTGCTAATAAAGTTTTGAACTTAGGGTGCTGTACGAAAACAAGGCAGGAGCATCACTGTCCACTCAGGTACCAACATGGAAGTTGGCAAAAGGGATATTATACACTTATCATGAAGTCACTCCCATATCAAACGGAACACAGGCTTTCCAAATTCTAGAAAACTACATTTTTTCCCAAAACAGACATTTTCACGTGGCCAAGTAATATGCCCAAGTATTTCAGATTAACAAGTCCCAGTCAGCCTCAGGTTTTGATTGGAGTGAACCATGCAGAAATACTAACTTCTGTCAGTGAATATTCTAATCTAGCACAAGAAAAGGATCCACCAAACAGGCAAGACCCTGGAAATTATAGAATACTTTAGAGTCCAGATTCAACAATCTTCAAATTAATCTGTAGGGTGTACTGCCTGTCAGAAGGTCTTTTATAAAATACCTCCCCCACCTACCAAACCCAGTTAAAGCATACAAAAAAAAAGTTCATTTATGCCCAATGTGGGGAACGTCTTTACTAGTACACAAATCACTATTCTTTTCCAAAGTTTTACACAACTAAGTTGAGTAAGCTTGGTGTGCTTTTAAGCATTTAACTTTTCTAACCACTACCAAAACGGTGGGGCTTGATTTCCAGCATACCTATGGATGATACATGCAGCAGTACTGTGTTATCTATTCCAAATGGTTATTAACCCTATTGATATTGTGAAAGTGAATATTGTTTAGTCTTTTTGTAAAGGTGAATTCCAATTCTGGTATCTTCAATCAATGCTACAGGATTCAAATAAACTCTTTGGAAACTGGAGGCTTTACCTAGAACACAGCCAGGGCCTGCTCATCCAAATAAATCGGTCACTATTTACAAGAGCTATCAAACTCATAAATTGTTGACTGGATTAGCAGAGTCTCAACGTTCGAACTAAAAGGTCAATACTGCAAGGTACTGGCACTGGCTGACTAACCAGGCTGCTCTGTAACTGGAAGCTGGAGAGGCAGATCAGTCACTGGAAGCTGGCATTTTATCCTTCAAATGCGTTCTAGAGGACACCTGTCATCATGTTAGTTTGCAGTATAGCTGTAGAAGCAGCACAGGGTTTAGTGCTTGGCGAGTTTAGCTAGTTAAATTCTAACATGTTGAGATTTAAACCATACATGCAAGAAGCATGTAAGCTCTAAAGGTTTTGCAGGTGTACAATTTTCTGTAGCATGGTTTGGAGACTCAACATGACAACAATTCAAATATAAAACACTAATTCCCAAGAGTAACAGGCTTCTAGCAATTGTTCCAAGCAAACCTCAAGTGTGTCACTAAGTGACTTGACTTTGACGGTCATGTAGCTAAGCCTACTACATTAGACTTCAAGCAGAACTAAGGGCGGCCCAGTTGCTTGGTGGTTAGCACTCCTGCCTCACAGTGCCAGGGACCAGAGTTCGATTCCACCCTCTGTATGGAGTTTGCACATTCTCCCCGTGTCTGTGTAGGTTTCCGCTGGGCGCTCCAGTTTCCTCCCACAGTCCAAAGGTGTGCAAATTAGGTGGACTGGCCATGCTAAATTGCCCGTAGTGTTTAGGGATGTGCAGGCTGGTTGGGCTGGCTGTGGGAGATGCAGGGTTGCAGGGATCGGATCTGTGTGGAATGCTCTTCGGAGGGTCGGTGTGGACCTGTTGGGCCTGGTGGCCTTCTACACCATAGAGATTCTACGATTGTATCTTAGCCTATGTTTCACTCTAAACTAAGGAGCTGATATTAAATATAACATTACCAACATTATTTTTAAGGTTAGCCAATTCAGCATTAGCCAATATGGATCAGTAACTCAGTTAAAAAAAAGAATATCTGCAAACTTATCCAAACTGAAAGAGAGTCAGAGTCATACAAATATTTGATTTATTTTACCAACCTTAGTCATCGGAGAAGGAGAATCATTTTCAGATGGGCGTTTAATTCCTTTCTTGAGAATACTTGTAGAAGGTGATGCTGTGGGTGACCACACACAACATGCCTGCATTTCAGAAGGACTGTGCATTGATCCAACCAGAAAAGAGGCATCATTTTTAGTCTTTTGCGGCGATTCCATAAGATGCTCTGACATCGGATTATGGACATCAGTTTCTGTGGTTAACTCCACCTCTGGAGAAGACTCTTCAGTTCCAACAGTCTCTCTATCTTTAAAATGCTCTGCAATTATTGGCCCACCTTGTAAAGTCTTTTTGTCAAATGGGGTTGAAACATTAGTCCTTTCCACGTGGTCTGTTTCAGCCTGTATAGTGGTCACTCCATCACCTGGAACAGTTACATTTGCCCCGCTCGATTGATGTTGCTCCAACTCACAGTCAGCTACTGATTCTTTGCTTTCTAATGGTTCATCCTTTATCAAAGAAGCATCATTGGATACTGGTTCTCCTTCTAACATTGATAATTTAACAGTGCCATCATCTTCCTTCATTGATTCTACTTGTTCATTCTCTCCATAATTGAAAGCTTCCTCTGCTTTCTGCTCTGTTGAAGACTCTTGCACCACTTTCTGCTCTGTGGAAGAGTAACTGATCATTTCCTGCTTGGAGGACGACGACTCTGGTACTGCATTTTGCTCCATTAAAGAGCCATCTGTCACCTGTGCGCCTGAGGAGGATTCCATCACTTTCTGCTCCATGGAGGAATCATTCACTGCCTCCTGTTCCGCAGAGGGCTCCTCTGCCGCTTGCCGCTCCGCAGAGGGCTCCTCTGCCGCTTGCCGCTCCGCAGAGGTTTCAATCCTTGGAATGACCTTTCTCTCTTCTGTCAAATCCACCTCTGATGTAACAGTACTAAGAGAACCACCAAAAAACTGAATTTTGCTATTCCCAGAGAGAGGCGTGCTGAAAGCACAAGGTCCATCATTTACAGTGTCATTGAACCTGGGGCTTTCTAATAGTCCTTCTGTAGAAGGATAATTCATTGAAGGGCTCTGATGTAGGGTATGGTCTTTTTGATCATCAGATTGTGGATCTTGTTTGGTGAAACTTTCTTTGCTTTCTAATTGCAATTTTCCATGTTGTGAAACGCCTTTGCAGCAATCACAATTTTTAGTTTTCCGGGTCCTTTTACTTCTCACATGGCACTCATCTGACTGCAGGCTCTTCTTGACTAAAAGCAGTCTATCTGAAAGATTTGAACAATCATCAGTTGATAAAACCCCTGTCTCATAAGACAAGGGTGGAACGTGGACAATTGTGGAGGCTTCTTCAGCTTTGCCTGGTTCTAAATCCAGCTGACTTTTTACACATTCAATGGTTTCAGGTTGATCTCTTGAGTCACGCGATATGCTGTGTGCTTTTGTGTCCTTTTCCATGTTTGGCTCTTCAACGAAAGCACGCGGCACTGGAGACATCTGTGAACTATTCATTTCATCAAGATTTTCTGCATCTTCCACTTGGGTCATCACTATATCTGCTTGCTGATTTTCAATCTCCAATTCTTTTTCTAAATACTTCACCTCTACATTTTCATTTTTTGAGTATACCTGACTATTTACAGTTGTTTCATTTTCCATCAAACCTTTGGTCTTGCTATTCTTGAGGGACAGCTCTTTGGTCTTTGTTCTTCCTTTAGATATTCTTCTTTTCTTCTGACTATCCTGAAGTTTTGGATTGCCTTCAGAACCCTCTAATTCAGTAATGCCAGAGCAGCTGTTCTCTGCTTCAGCCAAGCCTTGGGATGCCCTACGAGTCTGGTAGCGAGGGCGGACTCGGTCAGCAGGATCTGGGGTATTTTTGGTGGAATCAGACTCCTGAGAATCACTTTTTAAAGTCCTGCTTTTCTCAGTTGCTGACTTAGTTTTAGAATCTTTTTCTTTTGCTTTGGAAAGCTCATCATGCGGGAAAGAATTTTGAAGATGCTCCTCATCCTCGTTTTGTGACTTTTTTCCAAGTTTATCATCTCTTTTTTCCTTGCTGTCTGTCTGATCAGTCATTGCCACATCAAAGTGCTTCCTAGAAGAACGCCTTAGCATTTTTTGTATTAGTATTTTAGAAGAATCATTCTCAACTTGTATGCTTGAAGCATCTTCTGATGAGGTTCTCTCTTTCAAGCCCACAGGAGTCGTTTCAGAATTTACTTCATTAGAAATACTGTTTTTTGTCTGTTTATTACTTGACTGACTCTCAGAATCCCGGCAGCATGCAGCTTTGCTTTTATTAAGGTGGTCTCTACTATTAGTTGAAGAATTTTCTTTTGCATCCGATGATTCAACTTTGGAACTCTTCGTATTTTTTGACACCTTAGTGTACTTGGATGGTTTTTCTTCAGTTGACCTTTCAGTTTTACTTTGCCTACGTCTACCGCGTTTGCCAGTGATTTGGACATTTGTTGATCCGGTTTTTGTAGTACTCAAATCGACTTCCTGGCAAACGTTGTTCACCTCAGGTGGTGATGCAACTTCCACCTCCATTGCTTCGGTCCGCTGAGGAATGAAAACCTCAGCAGCTGCTTGTGCCATTTTAACCAAAGGCGAGTTACTGAAGCAATATGTAGTTGAGGAATCAAACTTCTCCAGGGTAATAAATGACTGTCGTCTGCTGCTGGTTTTCTGTGGCGTTCCAGAGATGATGTCAGAAGAGGCAGAACTACCACTGACATCAGCACTGCCGACCCCTGATTCAGGGGCACGACCAGTGCAGTTTGATTTAGATTCAGTCACCATGTTTATCACTTCCTCCTGTTTGCCACTGCAAACACCATCTATGGAATCTTCAATGATTTGTTCAGTTCTACTTCCCTTGTGATCAGCACATTCTTGGTCAGTTCCTTGATCAGGCAACTCATTTTCCTTATTTGCCTCAGTGGCAATCTGGGTATCAAGCTCATTTTCGGTTTCCATATTTTCATCCTGAAAAATAAAAATCATTCTCAATGTTATAACAGATGCAATGAGGCATGGTTAAACAGACCCTTACTTTCCAGAAAAGAACTGACCTTCAAAGTGGAGCATATCAGTACAGACTTTCTTTGAAATGTTAATGTCTATTAGCAGCATTGAGCACTACAAGTTTAGCAGCACCAAATATAAACAATCTATTTCTTTGTGGAACCCACTGTATTCAGAAGAATGCCCCTTACTGCATTAGTATTCTAGGCAGAAATACATGTTTGGCAAGGTTAATATATTTGTACGTCAGCAAACTGGTTGTAGCAATTTCATAAATTTAACTTCAAGACTGAACCTTACAAATCGTCTTCATTGGGATTCAACATTAAACTATTATCCGGCCTGAGAAACAGCTCTTGTTGGAAAGAATGTATAAGTAAACCTTCACAATCTAATTCATTTATTACAATGGTGAGGAAATATGTAGTTATAATGCATATTTTGTAAAGAAATCTAAATGAATGCAAAGAATATCAAAAAAAGGTTCCTCACAGGCAAATGACAACCTTTGTGACCCAGTTGATACTGGGTTCAAACAGCAATTATCTCAAGGTCATGGAGAGCATAGCCATTCCTATGTCACCAAAACCTGACAATGACAGCAAGTCAAGCTAATGGCTGAAAAAGTAATTGCCTCAACTAAAAGACAATGATGCGTCTGCCTCCCAAACCTACACTGACCCAGTACCCAACATGAAACATGGTTCAACGGTTTGGGACAGCTACAGTTTTAAGTTTTGAACTGTCTAAAAGTTCTGTGAGCAACCATTTAGTGCAGAAACCACAAAGGAGACATCTTGATGGAGTTACTGTATCACAACAGGAGGGAGGATGATTTCAGGTGGATGTACTACGCCAAGCTACCAAGGGCCATCACTTTATTGTCATAAAATCAAAGAAAGGAGCCGTCACTCAATCCCAGGACCTGTTCTGCTCTATCCATCTATGGGAACAACCTTCAAATATTTGACCACAGAAATCATGACAGTTGCTGAATTCAACTTTTCATTTTGGAAAGTGGACCTTCAACAATCTTAGATACTGAACAAACTTTCATCTTCATAAGTATCTTTCATTCCTACTTCTTTTTAACTTTTGTATTTGTATTTTCAGTTAATAACTATCACTTTTACTTGGTTAACTGCAGCAGTCATTTAGCAATAAACTAACGTTTATTTAAACAATTTGGTCGTTTCTAAATTGAAACAAACTAAAAAGGCGCCATATACAAACCTTTTCAAATTTATAATCCACAGATTTCCCCACACCCACACAATCACTTTAAACTGAAATTCAGTAATAATTTATGCTTAATAGCCGATTAATTAGTCAACACTCAAGCAGCAGGATACACATCTGTATAACATGGGTATTTAAGGGCAAAGAGATCTCTTTGAATCATTCCCGGATATCTCTTGGCAACCAACTTGAATCTCAGTAGTTTCATCAGTTGCATGTCATGTTTGAGTCCCAATGTGGTAAAAGCGGATTAAAAAGAAACAATATGACCTAATCAGGCTACAATTTGCTGAGGAATCTTTCAGTGACACATTCATCTCCAGACCAAGTAGAATCAACTCAAATTATCCATTAAGAGTGCAGTTCTTATAATTAACATTCAATCTTCATTTCCTTGTGGCTAAGTTACATTTGCACCTAATCACTTTAAAAAAACAATTTTGCTAAAAGGTATCATTCACCTGTGGTAGGTTTTCAGATGTTTCCGCTGCTTCTCCAAGTTTCTTTGCAGGATTATCTCTGGGGGGAGGAGATAAAAGGCAGAAATCTGGTAACAAAATTAGATCACTGTATAACATGGGGATCTTGGCTACATATAGTCTCATTAACTTGAAATTGTGAAATAAGGAATTTGGAAATAATTAAATCGAATTTTGCCTTTGATCGACAGGGCTATGGGGTGGAAAATGAAAGCTGTTTCTCCAAATGTATGAAATGGGGCTTAATTCAAATCAGAACACGTGAAATTGCCTAATTCAGTACAGTTCAGTCTAAAGAACAATCACTGTTTTCTGCTCTTCTGGAGCTAGCTTTGTCATGATGACGGATCAAAACCCTGAAGTACTTTGAACGTTTTAAATTTCCAAAATATGTCTTATAAATAAACAGGACTGCTATAGACAATGAAAAAGAATGCAAATGCAAATTCAGAGCTGTCGGGCAAAGTCCTTTGCGTTACCAATGGCACGTCACACCTATAAAGTGCCAGAAAAACACCAGAGATACCACCGGAAGGGATAATGTGCTGATTATCTTCCCTCTTTTAGAGGCCTTGTATTTTGCCCTTCCAAGAATATAAAAACAGATAGCAACTCTGGTGTGCGCACTAGCATACTGTAACGGTCTCAATTGGTAACAAACAATTAGACATCTGTGTTGCAGGTAAAATAACTCTTTCACTTCTAGTGCCTGCTAACCAAAGGAAATGGGAAAACAGAATAAAACAAAACAAAGACAAAAATCCCAAAACCTACTATTCAACTATCAATGTTCTACTGTATAGATTTCACTAAAAATTCAGAGAAACTGATCTATATATCTGTGGATTTTAACTTTTATGGACTTATTTCTAATTTGTGTATGTGTGAGACACATGAATTCTTCTTACAATTACTAATAAATTCAATCCTTAGTTAACTGAAGAAAGCCTGGCTAACAGAGGGGGCAAGAAGATAAAGGGGAGCCAGTTCGTCTTTCCTCACTTGGGGAGTACCATTATGACTTGGGGAACTTTGCCCGCTGTCTAGGCCTAACACTATAGGTTAAAAGGTTCTAAAGAATCATTGAATTCAAAACATCAGTTCTGTTTCTCTCTGCTCAAATGCTACCAGCCATATTGTATTTCTCCAACACTTTTTAACTGCACCTACAGTACTTTGCATTTGTTTATTTAGTTCACTGTTTCTTCATGCAAAATGAGGTGAGGGAAACAGGCAAAAAAAAACAAACACTCAGTGAGGCAGCGAGCATATAGGCATCTTGAAACCTGCATTATTCCCAAATTATCACCAAACTAAGCTCCATGCTCAAGATGCAAGTAGTCAGCTTTGGTCAAATATTGAAGAAAAACAAGTTGCTGGAGAAACTCAAAAGTTGCACGTGTGGAACACTGGGAATGTGATGACGTAGTAGTAATACCACTGAATCAGCAATCCAGAACCACAAGCTAATATTCTGGAGGACGTGGATTCAAATCACCATGATAGTGAAATATGAATATACTAAAAATCTGGAATAGCAAAATTAGCCTAATTGCAGTCATATAGCCAGTGTCAACTGCTGTTGAAAACCAGCTGGGTCACTAATGGCCTATAGGGAAGAAAATCTGTCATCCTAATCTGGCCTGGCCTACATGTGACTCCAGATCCATAACAATGTAATTGACTCTCAACTGCCTTCTGGGATGAATAAATGCTGGCCCAGTTAGTGATGCCCACATCACTATTAAAATGAAATCATCGTCAAATTCAAAGACAAAGAAAATATCAGCATAGGCCAGTTGGGTTGAATGGTTTAAAACCACAGAATCCCTACAGTACAGACAGAGGCCATTCATCCCACTGAGTTTGCACTGAGCCTCCAAAGGGCATCCCACCTAGATCCATGCCCCACCTTTTACATAAGCCTTCATTTACCATGGCTAATCCACCTAGGCTGTACACTCCCGGACACAACAGGCCAAACCACCTAACCAGCACATCTTTGGACTTTGCATAAAAGATGGCTAAGGATTCTGAAAAGTCTGTTAGGCTGGGCTGTAAAGTATACCTTTACCATTATATCTAACATCTCACATGCAGCCCTATCTAAGGCCAATTTCAGCAAATGGTCAATTTTGCAGATTGTACTGATCTTTTCTAAAATAATCCAAAAGAGAGTTCCGAGAGTTGTTTAAAATTGAGACATATTTCACTTTGCAAACTTCACAGTTCGCATAAGTACATCACAGACAAAACACCTAGTGCTTGGGTGTTAATGAATTTTGTTAACATGCAAACTAAATAGACTAAATATACCAAGTAAAATGATCTACTTACAAATTTTCCTCCTGAGATTGTGCGTACTGGGAAAACAAGTGAGAATCCTGAGATGCATCTAAGTTATTGTACATGGCAGGAATGTCAGTCCTGTTTTGGGGAAAATACATGTTAAAATGGAGAAGCCCTTAAAATTGCTTATTTTAGCATATATCTGTTATATAAGTATTACAAGTGAAGGCAAATCATTGCAAAATGTGACTTTTAGTGACCTGATCTACAGAAGTGAATAGGTTAGATTGTTCAAACTTTTTCACAAAGTAATATATAAAAAAGCTTGCTTTTTTTAAAACCTAGCAATCAAATTGTATTCTTAAAGTAAACATTATTTATAAAATATTATAATTGTCAGTTGGTAAAATGCAACAGATTTCGTGCACAAAAAAAGAAACAAAGTAAATGAGACAGCCATATTTGTTCTGATAATGCCTGAATGACTAAGAACACAGATGCAGCTGCAGACATAAGAAGGCAACACACTGTCTCACCTCATTCCCACATGAACAGCTTGTCTACCAGTCTAAAGGGGGTGAAGATCTGATAGCCCATGAGAAATAAACAGATAATGACTTCTTGTTCCTTCAACCCACCTCTTTGTCCATAACACCTCTTTCTGATGCTCTGTCAAAATTCGCTCCTTAGGTTCAGGTGGTATAAACACAAAATCTATTGATTTCTCCTCCTCTAGCAGTAGCTCTTGTCGCAGCATTTTGGGAGAAGAAAAATCTAGCTTCAACTGCAAAGGGAGAGAATGTGGAAGTAGGTGTGACTGCTCAGCCTTCGAGCCCACAAAACAAGAGCAGTATCTACAAACCTGCTCTAAACATGTTTTCTCTGCAAAATTAACATGCTAAAACATAAAATATTGTTACCAAACAAAAACTTTGGCAATACCAGACAGTTATATACTAATGGCAGTTACTACATCAAGCAATCCTCCAAGGGAAGTCCTTCTGAAGAAATCTGCATTAGCTCTCCAGGAAGATATTTCTCAGAAAAGAAATCCTCAATACCCTCGGAGATAGCAGGAACTGCAGATGCTGGAGAATCTGCGATAACAAGGTGTAGAGCTGGATGAACACAGCAGGCCAAGCAGCATCAGAGGAGCAGGAAGGCTGACGTTTCGGGCCTAGATCTTTCTTCAGAAATGAAGAAGGATCTAAGCCCGAAACGTCAGCCTTCCTCAATACCCTCGTCTCATTTAAATTACATATACTCATTATTCCCCTACAAACTTTGAACCTGTAACCTCAAATCATCACATGAGCATTATGTCAGATATACTCTGAACTCAATGTTCTATATACACAGCCTCATTCAAGTGCAAAATATTTGTACTAAACTTACTTTTGCTGGAGTTTGAGGCAAACTCTTCTCTCTCAGATCCTCAGCTCTCGCAAGCAATGACTCTCTTTTTCCAACTGAATTAACTTGCACACCACTGACTTTAGTGTCTAATTGGGAATGTTCTGACTGCGAAAAAGAATACATAACAAGTGAACACGAACTGCAGATGCTGGAATTCTGAAACAAGAAGTGTACTGGAGAAACACACAGGTCTGGTAGCATCTATAGGGAAAAAACAGAGTTAACATTTCAAATCTAGTGATGCTTCATCATTCATGATGAAGGGTCACTGGATGTGAAACTTTAATTCTGCTTTCACTCTAAAGAGACTGCCAGGCCAGTTGTTTTTCTCCAGCACATGCTGTTTTTGTTACGTGAAAAAGTGCAACTGATGCATCTGAACACTTACTTTTTTGTAGGATATTTGACAATCAACATGCATTCTTCACCTATGGCAAAGAATCAAGGTAGCAGCATAACAATAGATACATTACAAATGTTTATATTTTTCACTGTCAAAACATACAATCTTTCCCCCAGGTTAATGAGCTACCTTGTGAGATGATCTCTCATCAAAAGCCAGTTTATAAGCCAAACATAATTGTTGATGCTTCTAAATTTCAATTGATGTCTAAAACTTGGGGTACCATTAGCAATTTGCTCACAATCGGTATCACCTTCAATATCGAAAACAAAATTTGCTAACGCCATTACACAATAGTAAAACATAATGCATTTGTACATTCTATTAACCTGTGTGGCACTCGCAAAGGTAGCTTTTGGTGACCACTCCCTAGTTGCCCAGAGAAGATGGCAGTGAGCTGGTATCTTGAACCATTGCAGAATATACAGTTAAGATGCTCCAAAAAAGCTATAGTAATTTTGATACAACCAAAAAGGTTGCTTAGTCACTTTAAATGGGTTGTGAAGAGTCAGGCTATGATTTGGGGTGCCATCAATATAGCTCTCGTCTATCCAAAGGTATCTGCCCTTAAAAAGAAGTATTAGTGAAGCAGCTTTGTTTTTACAACACTCAGGTGCAGAATGCAATATTTAGATTTAAAAAAAAAAATCAAACTTTCCAACTACCATGTTGGTAATTAAAATTCTCTGGTTTAGTAATCCAAAAGCAACAATTTTAGCTGTGCAAATGGGTTGAATATGCAGAAGTATTAAATATTTTGTGCTCTGTAGAATCTGAACACTTTAAGGGTGAACAGTCTAACACATCGGCAGTTAGGAATGTTAATCTGTTTATGAAGCTAATAAAAAATTTTCTCAAACACATTTGAAATACTGAAGTCTTATGAGGATATTCAAATTTTAAACTTACAATATGTATTTTGGACTTTCTTTTAATAGACTATGCCAGCATGTTGTCATAGCAGAAAGATAAACTGTGCTTTACAAACTTACCAAATCAGAGTACGGCCCACTTGACTCTTCTGTCAACTCTAAGGTCTCAAAGCCAGGTAATAGAATGGGTGTCTTCTGTCTGACACGACTTAAGACCGACCTATAGTGAAACAAAAAACTCAATGTCACACATGCTTCAAAAATACCTGTGGAGACACGAAGTCCTTAAGGCGAGGAGGAGCATGGCTCCAAAAGTTAAATAAATTTGTTAATACAATATCAATTTAAAAAGTTAAAAATTAACACATCTTTCAACATTTAATAAAATAAAAACAGCAACTGCTTTTATATAGGTCAATGCAACATGTAGACCGAGTTCCTGTTTTAAGTGATTCTGCTTTGTCAGTTAATGGGGCACATAGTCCCCATTCAGTGTTGGGGATTTTGTTTTATATGTCTTTTCACATTATGTCTGACATAGGTGGCATGACCCATCCTTTGCAATCCAAGATGGCAGCAGAGTAGCGCACTTCAGACGGAGTTCGTCCACTCCATCTGTTTCCTTTTCTTGCTTTCCTTCTCTTTTTTCTGCTCTTTTGTGTTTTCTCCCTCCCTTTCTTCTCTCTTCTTCCTTCTCCTTGCCACAGACTCCCGGCCTCGGAGTCAGCAGACCCAGCCAACTCTCAGTGGCCCAGCGTGGAAGTATCTAAGCAGAGCATGGCCTCACCTGTCTTGAAGCGATTCCTCCAAGTGTGATACCACCGTGACTACGTTCTTAAGGAAGCCGCAATGTTTGAACTTTCAGCGATTTTTAAAAATTTTTTACTTAAAACTGAGAAGGTGTCACTGTACTATAATTAACTGCAATGCTTAACTTCTAACTTTGTTCCTCCTATTTTGTTCTTAAGATTCTGTACCTAGATACTTTTACCTAAGATGGCACTGTTGTTTTTGAAAGGTTCATTATCAGACATGGCATAACTGGCTGGGCCAACATTTATTTGCCATCTCTAACTGCCCTCAAGAAGATGATAGTGAGCTGACTTCTAGAACCACTACAGTTCATATGCTCTAGGTAGACCCATAATGCCATTAAGGGAGGGAATTCCAGGACTTTTAATCCAGTGACAGAGAAGGAACGACACGATATTTCCAAATTTAGATGGTGAGTGCCTTGGAGGGGAACTTGCAGGTGAGGGAATTCCCATGTATCTGCTGCCCTTGTCCTTCTGGATGGATCTGGCCGCAGGTTTCGAAGCTGCTGTCTAAGGATCTTTAATGAATCTCTGCAGTGCATCTTGTAGGTAGGACACACTGCTACTGAGCGTTAATGGTGGAAGGATTGGGTACTTGTGGATGTGGTACCAATCAAGTGGGCTGTTTTGCCCTAGATGGTATCCAGCTCCATGGAGCATTGCTGGAGCTGCACTCAGACAAGTGGTATTGATCACATGACTGATCTGTGCCATGTTGATGATGGACAGGCTTTGAGAAGTCAGGTGGTGAGTTACTTGCTGCAGTATTCCTAGCCTCCAACCCGCTCTTGCTTTTATTTGGCTAGTTCAGTTCAGGCTCTTGTCTATGGCAACCCAAAGGATATTGATAGGGAAGGATTCAGTAGTGGTAATGCCATCACTGAATGTCAAGGGACAGTGGGTAGATTGTTTCATTTGCCACTTGCCATCCAAACCTGGATATAGCCCAGGACTTCTAGCATTTGGACATGGACTGCTTCGGTATCCAAGTGGCAAATTGTGCTGAACATTTTGCAATCAGCCATCATCCCCACTTCAGACCTTTTGAGGGAGGGAAGATCATGAAGATGATGATTGGGCCTAGGGCAATAACCTGACAGCTTCTGTAGAGACATCCTGGAGCTGATTTGACTGACCAACAACCACAACCACCTTCCCATGTGCCAGGAATGCCTCCAACCAGCAGAGAGTTTGCCCCGATGCCACTGACTCGTTTTGTTAGAGCTCCTTGACACCACAATCCGTCAAATATGGCCTTAATATTCACAGTTGTCACTCATCTCAGGAAGTGAACTCTTTTGTCCACGCTTGGAACAAGGTTGTAATAAGGTCAGAAGCTGATTGGCCCTGACAGAACTTAAACTGGGCGTCAGTGAGCAAATGCTGCCTGATAGCACTGTTGATAACTTCCATTACTTTACTGATGATGGAAAGTAGACTGATGGGGCATTAATTGGCTTGGTTGGACTTGGCCTGCCTTGTGTACAGGACATACTTGGGCAATTTTCCACATTGGGAGGTAGATGCCAGCATTGTAGCTGTACCAGAACAGCTTAGCTAAGGGTGCAACAAGTTCTGGAAGACAAATCTTCAGTACTATCACTTAGTCAGGGTTCACTGACTTTGCAGCATCCAGTGTCTCCAACAGTTCCTTGATATCATATATATTGACTGAAGACTGGCATCTGCGATGCTGGAGACCTCGGGAGGAGGCAGAGACGAAACATCCACTCAGGACTTCAGGCTGAAGACTGTTGTGAATGCTTCAGCTTCAGCTTCATCTTTTGCACATATGTGCTGGGCTCTTGCATTGTTGAGGATTGGGATAGTTGTGGAGCTTCTTCCTCCAGTGAGTTGTTTAATAGTCCACCACCATCTACAACTGGATGTAATAGGACTGTAGGGGTCAGAGTGGAGCAGTTGGTTGCAGGATCATTTAGTTTGTCTATTACTTCCTGCTTATGCCGTTTTGTGGTTTCATCAGGTTGACCCTCATTCTTAAGGATGTCCTCTTGGAAATACGAGAACAAATGCGCTAAAATAGTACATAATACAATGGAAATCTGACCAATATCTTGAAGCACATTAAAAATAAATTTTGGCAAAGCTTGAACAAAATGGCTTTCAACTCAGAAGCAACTGATACTGTTATATCCTAAAACAAGTTTTAAACAAAGTTATGCTCACTTAATTTGCTGTGGATAGTGCAACGATGTACTTTTGGCAAACGTAGCATTCCAAAACTGTGTGGTCTGGTTCCTGATCTGCCGGTTCTTATGTAGAAAAGTGATACTGAGCAGAGATGACATTTGTTCCAAGAAGTCACTATCAAAGGACGATGTGTAACGGGATTGCAAGCAAAGAAGAATTTCTGCATACAGTTTCTCCAACTGCAGGAAAAGAAGTATTTAAACATAAAACCAGTCAGACACTTGATATAATCGAAGAATAGAATTTAAACAAGCCTGCTATTAGAAAAAGTTAATCCACAATAATTTGTTTAAAAAAGGATCAGTTCAAACTGAAGTCAAAAACACCCAATGCTCATTATTAAAATGATTCCACTACAGACAGTGCACACAGAAAAACAGAAACATCAAATATTATTTTATAGTCTCGTCGAAGCTTATAATTTGAAAGCTGGAACTACACAAGCATATGGTCACATCTGATTACCCTAATGTTAGCTAGCATGGTGATACATAGCAAAGATTTAAACCTATTGTATCCAATTGTCACAAGAAAACACAGCAAGGTGCAATTTGTGAGTGCCACGTTAGGACTCGAGTTCAGATCAGAAATCACCTAATGTGTTAACAACTAACAGTCTGTCCTCCTAGCACGTTTAAGAGTAAGCATCCAAGGCCTAATCAAATAGGAAAGACTGGGCAGAACGATAAACAAATAGTCCTTATTACTTGCGACAGCAAATGGCAGTGTCAATATGGTTGAAAAAGGTAATTTTGAGAATGCTTTTGAAGACATTTCAGAAGAGGTGATGGATGTTAAAAAATGGAGGTGGATACAGACCTCTGATGGAAGTTCAGCTGGATTGCTTCAATGCAATTATCAATTGCCAGTGAATCCCCTAGTGAAATTGGCAAAACTATTCATTCATCATAACTTGACAACAGAAAAATCACAAGTCAGACAACACCTGAACCAATTTTAACTTTCAGGGTGGTGAAGCAGTTGGGTAAACTCAAAACTTCAAAATGTCAGAAGAATTAACATTACTTTTGGGGCTGTGGTAAACGAAATAATTCCATGCAGTTTTTATATATATTTTTTAAATTCGCTTGCGGCATGTGGACATCTCTGGCTGACCAGTATTTATTGCACTCAACAAGGCAGTTGTCAGCCTCTGGCATGTTAGAACAATCTAGCAAAACCACAGCCAAAAGAACAGCTTGGCAGAATCAGTGGGGAAAGAAGACCCCGTTCATCTTGACTCTAATCTGGCACTGTGAAGAGACATGAGAGGTATGCCACTGCAGCTCATGTGTTATAGGTTGACCCACTATACCCTTAGGGAGGGGATTCCAGGATTTTTCTCCAGCGACAGTGAAGGAACAGCAATATAATTCAAGGCAGAGTGGAGGGGAACTTGCAGGTGGTGGTGTTCCCTTGTATCTGCTGCCCTTGTCCTTCTGGGTGGAAATGGTCGAGTTTGGAAGATGCTGTCTAAAGATCTTTGGTGAATTTCTGTAGTGTACCTTATTGATAGTACACACTACTACTATTAAGCATTGGTAGTGGAGGGAATAAACGTTTGTGGATGTGGTGCCAACTACTTTGCTTTGTCCTGCATGGTGTCAAGCTTCTCAAGTGCTGTTGGAGCTGCACCAATTCAGGCAAGTGGGGAGTATTTCATCACACTCCTGCTTTGTGCCATAAGCCTCCGACCTGCTCTTGTAGCCAGTGTGGTTATGTGGCAGGTCCAGATGAGTCTCTGGTCAATAGTAAACCTAATGGTGTTGATAGTGGGCGATTCACTGATGGTAACAGCATTGACTGTCAAGGGGCAGCGATGGGATTGTCTCTTATTTGACATGGTCATTACCTGGCATTTGTGTGGTGCAAATGTTACCCCAAGCCTGGATATTATCCAGATCTTGTTACATTTGAACATGGATTGCTTCAGTAATCGGCACCATGTAGAAAACCAGGAAGATTAGAAAGAAAAAGTGCAATTTAAAATGGCATCATTCTGCAAATTAATTCTATATCACAAATGTACCAGGACACATTAACTGGGGCTCCAATTCATAGTTCTTTCCTCATTTCTTCAACAGCTCCATGTAGTTTTCTTTAATTGCTTACCTTGTTGTACAGGTGAGTGTTGTACACCTTTGAAGTCCCATTAACTGGACTGAAAAAAAAAATGCAAAGTGAGAAACAAAATGTACTAAAGCAAACTGACAAAATATAGCACTAGCCAGATAGTGATAGGAAACACCTTTCATTATAATAAACTTAGTTACATAAACCTCACAGCAACAAATGTAGATCTAAGTAAACAAAGAGGTAAAACATACAAGCATGGGGAGTATGAAAAGGTAAACTTCAGAACTTTAATAAGTTCATGGATTGAAAGAATCAGCAATAATTTTTTCTGGAATAATTTGCTTCCCTGAGATGAAAGGGACGAGGAGAAACTGAAATAAAGGAATCAAATGCAACATACTAATTAACTAATGGTACGGAAGAATCAAAGCAATATAAACAAGCTGTTTCCTGGGAGGGAGGTAACAGTGCTTGATAACCTGCTGCCTTGTAACAGTTAGGCAATTAAGACTGCCTGAAGAAGGAATGTCCTGAAGTAAAGTGGTAAATTGCAGGGCAGGCTTTTTCAAACAGACAGCTAACACTGAATATAGTAAATACGGTAAGTAAGTACTTCTGATAAGGCGACAAGCTAAAGGCTTGAGAATTCCTGAAGTGTCATCAATGTTGGAGATGAAAGAATCTAAAGGATCATTAATAATTTCACACCGAAAACTTCAAAAATAAAAGAGAAAACTGTATAAGAGAATTCAACTCCAAGAATCATCAGCAGCAGAACTTCGAAGAGCAACACTGCACAAGGATCAAAACCTGGATACTTCCAGAGACAAACACTTCATTGGAATCATAGCAAATTTCCACCATTAATCAGGTAATAGCCAAGTTGAGTTGTCAGGCTTAACTTGCTTCCTTGGGGGGTCTTATTTTGATTGCCATATGCAATGAAGTTTAAAATCATTGTTTCAATACTTGATTGTGAGATTTCTTAATAAGTAGCCAAAGTTTAAAAAAAAAGGTAGCTTGTGGCAAAGAACAAAGGAAATTACAGCACAGGAACAGGCCCTTCGGCCCTCCAAGCCTGCGCCGATCCAGATCCTCTATCTAAACCTGTCGCCTATTTTCCAAGGATCTGTATCCCTCTGCTCCCTGCCCATTCATGTATCTGTCTAGATACATCTTAAATGACGCTATCGTGCCCGCCTCTACCACCTCCGCTGGCAACGCGTTCCAGGCACCCACCACCCTCTGCATAAAGAACTTTCCATGCATATCTCCCTTAAACTTCCCCCCGGCCACCTTGAAATCGTGACCCCTAGTAATTCAGTCCCCCACTCTGGCGAAAAAACTTCTTGCAATCCACCCTGTCTATACTTCTCATGATTTTGTAGATCTCAATCAGGTCCCCCCTCAACCTCCGCCTTTTTAATGTAAATAATCCTAATCTACTCAACCTCTCTTCATAGCTAGCGCCCTCCATAC